AAAACTAATAAATCTAGACTCAAGAATCTCTTGATTTGGAGTCCGTATGAAGAAGATATGAAACGTCAAAGTTACAAAAAACTAGACTTTTGGGTTTCAAATCAATGCGATAATGGTACTTGGTGAGGGGTAAAATGGTCCTTTCAGAGAGAATTGAATGCAACCGTACATACCGTTGGATAGACAAGCAAAAGTTAATAAACTTAGACTCAAAAATCACTTGATTTGGAGTCCGGATGATGAAGATATGAAGTCTTAAAGTTTCAAAAAAAATTAACTTATTTTCCGAGTAAGAAATCTGGGCAGGAATAGTGTTTTTACAGCAAGCAACATTTGATTTTTTTCCCAGAACTGAGGCTGAGAACGGACCTTTAAACGAGTTTTTTTGGAAAAACACGAAGAAGAAACTCCCCATAAAATCATGTTTTCTACCCGACATCGCAAAAGAAACCAAAAAAAACAAGATGTAAAATCCCTAAAATGCCCCTTAAACAGCATAGGTCAAGATGGACCCAAAAAGCTGCTACATGAATTTTTTTCAAAATTTGCCCGCAACTGAGAGCAAAAACGGGCTACCAAAAGAATTTTTCTGGAAAAACACGAAAAAGAAACCCCACCTAAAATCGAGTTTTCTACCCGACAGCATGGGAGAAAATGAAAAAAACTCACTGTAAGATGCCTAAAATGCCCCTCCAAGAAATCTGATCATGAGGGTCTAAAAAGTTGCTAAATGAAAACTGGAAGCTGAACTTTGTGATGGATTTTCGGTATCAAGACGACATTTTATGGAAAAATACGAAGAAGAAACCCCCACTAAAATCATATTTTCTAAGTGACCATGTAAAGACCGGAATTTATTTCCTGAAGGAAAACCCCAGGATACCCTAAAATCAGATTATGCAACAAAGTTGTAAAATGAGTCCACAAGAGGCTCAAATAACCAAGGATGAGGTTTTTCTTGAAAACGATCATGCACGCAAACGTAACTTACCTATTTGGATGCATTACAGTGGTCCATGGCTTAAAAATACGACCGATGGAAAATCCGACCCCCAAACGGCCAAAAAGGCAAAAATGGACTTGAAATGGAAAACATAAAAACAAAAATTGACAAATGATTTCAAATGATCGTATGGCTCTTTGCCACACTTCATACAAGATTTATGAGACCCTATGAAAGAATGAAAATGGAATTCCCACACCTGATGCAACCATGGTGAAATAATGACTTGGCATTTTTTAATATTTTCATAATATTTCATGAAGTTAAAACATACATAGAATTCAATATACATGTCAATGGCCTCCGGCCTCATCTCATACATATAAAATACATTGTAAAGAGTGTACTTAGGTACACATTACATACATGAAATCAAAAGATACAAGCTTTGTCAAAATAAACAAAAGCTAACATGATATGCTAACATGTGCATATTCAATGTCATAAAAAATACTTCAAGACTTCTAGCATGTCTAAGAGTGTTGTGTATCCCACAACAAAGCTTCTTTACCTACAAAACACCCAGTAACTTCGGGGTGAATAAACAAGACTAACAAGTTTATTCGTAAGGGATGAGCATGTATCGACTCGATTTCTTTAGAGATTTTTAAGACTAACATGATATATTTCAAAAGGGTTCATGCTACCTAACGTCTATGTCAAATATTAGACTCAGGTATCATCCTAAGCTATCATGGAGTATAAGCAACAAGTATCATGACATATATACATATATGAAACAAGTCAGAGTTGGGATAATCCAAGAACACGATAAGAAGGATGATAGAATACAAGGATCACATTATCAAATGCAATTAACATGATTGGGAGTGATATATGAAATCAAGAACAAGGCATAATATCTATGCAATTAACAAGATTGGAGCATTCCAATTAACACGATAGAAGTAATACAACAAATCAATGACAAAGCATAATATCTATGCAACTAAACAAGGATGGAACATTCCATGAAACACGAAAAGAGTTATATCAAGAGTAAGGCATAATATCTATGCATTTAAACAAAGATAGAATCTTCCATACAACACGAAAAGAGTCTTAAATCTTCAAGGAATACAACACTTGAAATTTAAGGAGTTAAATCACGATAAAGCATAAAATCTATGCAATAAGACAAGATTGGAGCATTTCACATACACGACAAGTTTAAATCTTCAAGGAATAGCAACTTGAAATTTAAAGAGTGAAATCAACCAATGTAGAAACTCGGATATCGCCCGGATTAAAACCGTACTCTTGAGATCACTTTAGGGCTACTCACTCATGGGTACCTTTCCCTAGTGCGCACTATAGTTTAGAGGGACAATCCCCCGTACTAGAACCAAGTCTTAGCTATGTCAATTCCTGATTGATATCCCAAGTTCCAAAATTAACAAGTTGTGTAAGTCAAGATTGTATCAAAATACAAGAAATGCATTAACCACATATCATACACAACCAAGATTTTGGAACACACAAGACATGCCCTAAGTTCTCAACTATGATGGCATGTGAAATGTCAAGAAATCAAAGTGTGCATTTATATAGACCACAACCAAGATAAATAGCACATGGAATCCATCGAAGCAAATATACCACAAGTATAACGTACATGATATCAGTTGCATACTAAACAACACGTGTACATAAACCATTCCAAGACAAATGAACATGTTCATTAAACACATTAATGAAACCAAGATACAAAAAGTCTAGATACGTGATATCAAGGCATGATTAACTCGAGGGAGACATAAAAGGAAATTTAATCTACTTCAGGGATTAAATTATCAAGGTTACATGGTAAGTCCAAATGTTCTACGAACAAGGCATGTCAAGGATCATGTCAAGGCCAAGTTTAATGTCAAGTTTCAAGTTCACTTCATACACGACACAACTATGTGAGTTAAGTTCCATACAAACGAAATGAATAAATATAAGTTTCAAAACTTATTCGATTATGCTCAATGTAATACACGTGAAGGAACTTATCAAGGAAATCATGAATACAAGGTTAGAAACTTAATCAAGTGCATAGAACCATTGAATGGATTTTAATTATTTCATTTAATTAAAATCTCTAGATTTTGAAAGTCATCCAAATGACCTCAATTTAATATATGTTATACAATATGTCATAACTTGATTTAAGAACACATTACAAGTACATTTCATGCAAGTTACGGTCTTGAGTATCAAACTTTAATACAAAAAAAATAATAAATGAAAGGTTTCAAAACTCAATCAAATATTCTAGATTTAATATATGTGAAACTATAGGGTATGCACATCACGAATATCAAGTCGGAATTCCAATGGAGTGAATAATACACTCGGAGCAATTTAATTAATCTAATTAATTAAATATTACTATATTTCAAAACTTCTCCGATTACTCTCAAATTAATCTATATTGAAGAGTATGCTAGGGCCTAACATAATATGCTATCACATGTTGATTTAAAGTTAGATAAGGCCACATGATTTAATATTTTATTCAAGATAAATATTAAATAAAATCTTCATTACTTGTCCAAATAATCTAGATTTAATATATGACAATTTACATATCGAGGGGTAATATTCTATCATGCCACATGATTAAACAAAGTTATGGACAACCGGGAAAATTAATCCTTCATAAGAAAATTAAACGGCGTTGAAAACTGAGTCCCGAGAAGAAAGGGATGCCCCGAACAAGTTCAACGGCAACCGGGTCCTGAAACTCTGAAACTGGAGAAAAACGACCATTAGGAAATTCTATGAATTTATGAGTCGACGAAAAGTGAAAATGAATCCCGTACGAGGATCCAGGATCCAGACGAGATATTTTGCAATAACTTTCGTTAATTGCACAATGGCCCCTACAAAAAGGGTTAACTGAGAAACTACCCCAGAATGAAAATATCTTCCAAAAGATATTTTCTTAGATACCTCTGAAATAAAATATCTTCAAAAGATATTTACGAAAAACAGCCCAAGAAATGAAAAAGATTCTGAAGAATTGTGCATTCATGCCCCTATGGGCACCAAGAGCAACTAGAGTACATTCTTGCAAAAATAAAGATACGTATTTCAAGAAAACCACTCAAGATGAAGGCACGTGACGTCAAAAACTAACTCCGAGCATGAAAAGTGAGGTTTTTCCAAACAGGTGACAAACGGGAAAAAGACAGAATAGGAAAAAAGACGAAACAGGGAAAAAGACAAATAGTGCATAGTGTCCGAAAAGTAAAAATGTGAAAATGACTCGGTCCTCAAACGAAGTTGTCAATTCACATGAAAAAGTCTCAGAAACCGATTCCGAGCACTCGAGATGACACTAAGCGACACGAAACAGAGCTCAGGAAAAAAAAATTAAACGAAAAAAATTCATTCGTAAAATTTCAAGAAAAAGAAAAGGGAGTCAAATGACCGGGTCGTTACATTATTTCAATTTTTTTTATATTTATTTTATTATTATTCTTTTTATTATTATTTTTATATATATATTTCATTTTAGTGTATATATATTTCTTTTTAGTTGCTTATTTAATATATATATATAAAATAACAAAAAAAAAATGTAAATAACAAAATAAAATAATAATATATATATATATATTTTTGTAATGGATAGTGTAGGTTGGTATTTGATTTTATTACAATTTATTATTATTATTATTATTATTTTTTATATAGAATTTATTTTTGTGTATATGTTTTTCTTTTTAGTTTTGCTTTTTATATATATATCTATATAATAAATAACAAAATAAAAAAAAATTGTAATGAGTAGTGTAGGTTGGTATTTGATTTTATCCTAATTTATTTTATTATTATTATTATTATTATTATTATTATTTTTATATATAATTTATTTTTGTGTATATATTTCTTTTTAGTTTTACTTTGTTTAAAAAAATAAAAAATAAAAAAAATAAATAAAAGGGATTGATCAATCCCATGCTTGGCAGAGAGCAACAAAAAATGCCCTAGTGGATCGATCCCCCAATCACGTGGATCGATCCCTTTTTATCTGTGTCTGCACTTTCTCATTCTAGTAAAGGGCCAATTTTTTGTCTAAAAATATCGATCCCTCCCTCACTTAAGGAGATGAGCACCTCATCACATTGCCCTTCTCCTATCTCTCGCCTCTAATCTCTTAACCCAAATCCACACTATCAATCTCTTCATCCGTTCCTCACTGTCTTCTCTTCCCCGCAAATCTCTCAACCTTCAACCTCCACTCCCAAGTTCTTCGTCTAACCCTCACTGTTTTCTTCTTCTCTTCCGCGGCGCCATGGTGTTCGCACTTCACTATTTGAGACTCGGCCTTCGCTTCGTTTAAACAGCGGTGCCCTTTTCTTCGCCCTTCCCTTTTCCTTAGGTCGCGGGTAATGTCTCTCCGGCCGTGATTCTGGGTTGCGGGTCCTTCCGGCGATTTTGATTTGGTTTTCTCTAGCGATTCCGGCTGGGTTCTTTTCTGGCGAACTCATAAGTTGCTGTTCTTCTCTGATCGCGGCTGGGCTGTTCTTCTCCAGCGATCGCGGCTGTTTCTTCTCCAGCGATCGCGGCTGGTCTCTTCGGCGATTTTGACTGGTTTCTTCTCCGATCTCCTTGCGATTAATTGATTTTGTGAGTTGCTGATTTTGTGGGTTGTTAATTGGGTTCCAGATTCCATTGTCAAAAACCCCAATTGCTGATTTTGTGAGGTGGGTTCCAGATTCCACTGTTAATTGGGTCGCCATTCTCCTTTGCTTGCATTAATCGATTCGGGTAAGTGATGATTCATGGCTGCTGTTGGCAATGGTCATTTTAGATTGAGTTCCCTTGCAATATAGGTTGTAGGTCTTTAAAAAAAAAAATAATAATAAATTAAAATTTCAGCAATGTTACAATGATTTGAAATGGGTTGTTAATAATTTGGTTGTAATTTTGGGGATTTGTTTTGGACTTCAATTGATGATTACAAAAGTCTAAATTGATGATTTAAAAAAAAAGTTGAATTGATAATTTAAAAAAAATATATATATATATTTCTGGATTAATGATTTAAAAAAAAAAAAAAAAAAAAAGTTGAATTGATGTTTTTTTTTTAAAAAAAAGAAAAAGTTGAATTGATGATTTAAAAAAAAAAAAAAGAAAGTTGAATTGATGATTTGAAAAAAAATTCATAGTGGCCAAATTGGGTGTTGGGTTGTGGTGGTTGTTAAATTTGGATTGTGCATGGGTGCTTCATTTAGTTAATTATTTGGAGTTTCAATTGGTGATTGGGGAAATTTGGTTATTGAATTTTGTTGGTTGAGTTGCAGAATTTGGTTTGTCATTGCAGATTGGTCGTTGAATTTGGACTAATTCCCATATAGTTCAATCTTTAAGAAATGACTCGTGTTTTTTCTTCCAAACGTTTTAAACCCTCCAAAGAGACTGCCAAAGCCATGTGTCGTACCAAACGTCTGGATTTTGAGACAACCTTCGACATTGAAGGTACGTTTCGCCATAATAACACGACTGAATAGGCAGTGTTAAAATTTGAAAGGAGGCGTTTGTCCTGCCTTTTTAGACCAGCTGCAAAGGTTGCATATCCCTGTATTGTGTGCCTGTTTTATCAGAATATGGAATGGTTTAGTGATGCACCAGAAATATTAGCTACAACCATTGATGGTGTTCGAATTCACTTTGGTGTCTTGGACATAGCCCAGGCATTAGGGTATCCACATTTGTGCCCCACTGACTTGCTAGCAGAGAATGGGAAGCTACGTTTTGGCAAGTTCCCAGAAAAACCTACCGTGCATTCTATTGTTAAGGATATGTGTGCCGGGAAGTATGGTGACAAGAAGAAGAAAAATTGTGCCAGCAAGTCCTCACTACCTAAGGCTATGTGGTTTTTCGATTCGGTTCTGAAACGGAATATTCATCCAATAGGTCATAAGGTACAACGGGGGCAAGAGTTCTTAATAGCGTTGTATGCTACCCACACTGGAGCATGGTTTTCTGTTCTAGCTCTCATCTTTAACCAGATGCATAAATATTGGAAGCATTTAGTGGCGAGTGGGGATTCGAATGCGAAAAAATGGAAACTCACGTTTCTGTATCTTATTACCCAGCTCCTTGTCCTTCGGCGCTTCGTGGTTGATAATGATGAGATCTTTGAGGCTCCATGGGTGACTTTTGGGCTAGCACAGTGAAACTTAAGCCTTTCTCATATGCCTAGTGCCAAGAAGGAAAGTGATGGCATGGCAGCAGGTGATAAAGAGGATGTAGATGCCATGGCTACGGACATTGTTGGAGGTCTGAGGAGCAGATTGCTGATGGTGCTAGTTATGGATAGCACAGGCTGTGTCACCAAATGTAGAGGAGTTTGCGGGGGTGACTAGGACAGAGTTCAATGCCATGGTGGTGCAGTTGAGGACTGAGTTGGCTGACTCTCAGGAGCAACGTCGAGTCGAGCATGCTGAGCTTATATAGCAGCACACCACTACCCAGCGCATTCTATAGGATCTTCTTGAGATTATTTCATCGAGTGTCCCACGCTCTTCCACATTGTTGCCTGATGCATGATTTCTTTTATCTATTTTATGCTATTCAGATTTTTCTATTTAGAGTGGGTGGGATTTTATATGGCTATAGCCAGATTTTTGTGATTTAGAGATGGATATTTTGTGAACCTGTATTTCTGGGTTTAAGTGATATATTTTGGTTATATTCATCCATATATGTTTTGTACTGATGCTTTTGCTATAAATTTATACATTGATGATTGCTTTTGGCTTCTGTTGCTCATATTCATGTGTTTTATGGATGCTTTTTACACTTATGGGTGTCAAAAAATTTTTTTTCTATTTTATTTATTTATTTTAAATAAATAACAAAAAAAAAAAAAAAATTCCAGTAGAATTTTGTCTTACTAGAGACGTTAAACTTAGCCCATTTGTTTATTTATTTTGTAGGTTGTATATACATGTTCTTTTTCTTTATTTCTTTAAAAAAAAAAAAAAAAAAAAAAAAAAAAAAAAAAACACATACCACAAAAATTAAAAAATATGTGCTACCGGTAGGCCCTTATGCTTGGTTATAAATGTTTTATCTTTTATAAAGTGTTTCATCTCATATTTCTTTGCATTATGTTATATATTGTTTTGAACTGTATGCATTGCTTATCCCATGTGATATTTGATGCGCGTTTGCTAGTATAAACTAGGTTTTTGCATCCAAGTTTGGGGGAGACATTTTTCCTACTGAATCCTTGCTGGACTTCATTGTCTTTGCCATCACGGTATACTCTTTCCATCATTTTTTATTGTTCTCCTTGCACATCGAGGACAATGTACAGTTTAAGTTTGGGGGTAAAGTCATTATAATTCATTTTATTTTAAGTTGAGTTTTAAATGTATGATGAGATTTGAGATGTGTTTGGCAATGATTTTGAACTTTTGAAGCATAGTGCCTTTAAAAAGTAAGTTGTTAGAGTCTAATACTTCTTGCATGCTCTAGGATGCCATTTATGGGTAAATTTTAATTTTTGACATCATGTTTGCTTTTGTGGTACGCACCATCTTGTTGGTTGAAAATACTTTGAGAGTTGATTCTAGAATTCTACACTTACACTTGTGCACACTAGCATTCAATTTGTGAGGTACATGCTTAGTTGATTATTGTTTTGGTTTATCCCAATTGATCTAGTATGCTTTGAAAGCTTTCATTCTTGATAAAATAACTTTGAAAAAAAAAAAAAAACTCACCAAAGGTGAGCAAAATCACTCGCCAAAGGTGAGAAATAGAAATAGGAAAAAAAAAAAAAAAAATTAATAAAAAAAAACCATTCACAAAAGAAAAAAAAAAAATGTTTGATTGAATAACAAGGTTCATTTAATGTCTTGATATTTGATACTATATCCGTATGCTAGTTCGAGGGTAAGCGTATGCCATTATTTTGATTTGTTAGGATAGTAACACATTTTGATACCGGTTCACTCAAAAAGAATGATAAAATTGATTCAATTAATTGCTTGATGTGTGGATGACCATTCTTGTTTATATGATGTTGAAATGTTGAGAATAGCTTAGAAATGGCAGAAATTTGCATACTTGAAATAGTCTACTTTCAACACGTATTTGATATGTGTCGTTACTTCTCAAGTAAGAAAGAGCTATTGATGTTTGTGGGTACCATTTCTAAAAACCCTCACGAGATTTCACTCGTCCACTAGGGGTAACCTAGGGGTTTAAAAGGTTTGTTGCATATGCTAAATGCAACCGTGATCCTTACGAAAGTGGTGCTATCTTTATTTGCTTTATTAGTTCATAGTTGTATATATGTTTGTTTTATTTTCATACTGTAGTTCATTGCTAGGGACTAGCAATATCTAAGTTTGGGAGCATGATAAGTGCTTAAATGTTGCACATTTTAGCACCTAAACTAGGGTATTTTAGTCCTTGCATCTATCTTATTTTCATGTTTTAGTTTTAATTTATGTTTTTGTCAATTTCCGGTCAATAAGGTTCAAACGGACTAATTTTGGTTCACTAAAGCCTTTTTAGAGTCAAACAAAGACATTCAGAAAAAGTTCAGAAAATCGCAAAAAGAGGTCGCAGCCCATTGCTCGTATAGTGTGTTTATTTTTCAAAAGCGGTCAATTCTACATTTCTCAGGCCTTTGATGATGTTCCCAAAGATGAAGTAGCAAACCAATTAGCCCGGGGCCAAAATGGAGCTAAATAAGGTGTATAAGGAAATTCCAACTTTGAGGGATCGATCCCCCAGAGTGGGGGATCCATCCCCCACTATTTACAGAACTAAAAATGCCCTCAAGGGATCGATTCCCAAGGCTGGGGGATCGATCCCTCAGCACCTGGCAGCATTGCGAGATTGATTTTTAATTGGCTACGGGATTTTCTTGTTTTGGGCTTATTTTGTAACTTATTGGTCTCCAATAAGGTTTATTTAAGGGAACCAATACCCATTAGTTTGGGGGAGTTATTTTTATATTTTGATTAGGTTTTATTTTTCTGTATCGTGATATTACGCTCTCTTTGGAAAACACGCGAAAAGGGAGAGAAAGCAAGAATAGGCTAGGGTTTTGAGAAGAAGCTTAGAGATGATGAAGCAGATGATGGAACTTGTTGACACCTTGAGTCCATCAATCATGAGCGGCTAATTCTTCAACTTAGGGTTAGATAAACCCTGAGCATGTAACCTAAACTTTCTCTCTTTTCATACTTTTTGGGGATTTATTTATGTAATTGATGTATAGGCTTAAATAATATGATTTAATTCTTTCAATTATTTATTCGTATTAATCTCATGTTGTCCTACGTGTTATTGATGAATAAACAAGCTTTACACTTGAATTCCTTGTAAATTGATTCTTGTGATGTCTATGCATGTGGCTAATTAGTTGTATTTGTATTCCAATTTGATTGATATTACTTTTACTAGATGGATGGTACTACATAATTAGGTTAATTCATTTTCTAATTAGTTTAATTTAATGCTTAGTTAGTTCACTTAAATTTAATTAGTTTAATTACACTTAATTCCTAAGTAAGTAGACCATCCATACTTGTGTTTGAATTCCATGCTGATTGTTACAAATACATTATCCTCTAGATTAATGTAGGCTAGAATTGTAACTTGAATTGATAAACCATTCTTTGGACTGGTGAATTGCACTACACTTAGTTTCTCTGTCATTAGATAGGCAATTCCAGCTTGAAATTGATGCTTCATACTTTTCTTTACAAGTATTAGCTACATTAGAATTACATTTAATTATTTCCCCAATTAATTGAAAGTGCGTGAGTTAGGGAATGTGCTTTGTGGTGAATCTTACACCTTAAGTCTCTTTCCTAATCTTTAAATTCTGTTATTTTATTGCAATCATTTAGATTAAAATTAGTTCTAATCACAAAGTAAAAACTCTTTTTAACAATTACATAGGTACTAAAGTAGAATTCAATTCCAAAAATCAATATTGTTTAGATCTCTTGAGGCGATTCTTGCTCGCTTCATACTCTATGGTATAAGTGTTTAGTGGTTTTATAAATTTTAAAATATGGTGCCCACTTGACCTTATTTCAAAACCTTTAGTATTGTGCATTATTTTGTGCACACGCTCGGTCGCATCACTCAGCACTTTTAATTTTGTTCTCAATACTTTTTAATCTTAATCTCAACAACATTTAATCTCTAGTTTAACACTTTTTAATATTATTCTCAACACCTTTTAATCTTGTTCTCAACACCTTAAATCTTATTCTCAACACTTTTAATTTTGTTCTCAACAACTTTTAATCTCTTTCTCAACACTTTCAATCTTCTTCTCAACATTTTTAATCTTTAGCTCAATACTTTTTAATCTTATTCTTAATACTTTTTAATCTTATTCTAAACACTTTAAATCTTCTTCTCAACACTTTTAATCTTATTCTCAACACTTTTTAATCTTGTTGTTAACACCTTAAATCTTATTTTCAAAACTTTTAATCTTGTTCTCAATACTTTTTAATCTGTAACTCAACACCTTTTAATATTATTCTCAGCACTTTTAATCTTGGTCTCAACACCATTTAATTTTATTTTCAACATTTTTTAATCTCATTTTCAACACTTTTTAATCTTTTTTCTCAATACTTTTTAACCTCTAACGCAACACCTTTTAATCTTATTATCAGCACTTTATAATCTCTAGCTCAACACCTTTTAGTCTCGTTCTCAACACCTTATAATCTTATTTTCAACATTTTAAATCTTATTTTCAACACTTTTTATTTCTACCTCAACACTTTTTAATCTTTTTTCTCAACACCTATAAACTTGTTCTCAACATTTTTTAATCTTTTTTCTCAACACCTTTAATCTTTTTTTATTAACATATTTAATCTTATTCTCAACATTTTTTAATCATTTTATCAATACCTTTAATTTAATATTACTCTCAACACATTTGATCTTGTTCTCAACACTTTTTAATCTTTTTCTCAACACTTTAAATCTTATTCTCAACATTTTTTAATCTTGTTTTTCATACTTTTTAATCTTTTAATCAACACCTTTAATTTAATCGTACTCTCAATACCTTTGATCTTATTTTCAACACTTTTTAATCTTATTCTCAATAACTTTTAATCTTATTCTCAACACTTTTAATCTTGTTCTCAACTCTTTTTAATCTCTAACTCAACACTTCTGAATTTTATTCTCAACACCTTTTAATCTTATTCTCAACACCTTAAATCTTATTCTCAACACTTTTTAATCTTGTTGTCAGCACATTAAATCTTATTTTCAAACGCTCTTAATCTTGTTCTCAATACTTTTCAATCTCTAGCTCAACACCTTTTAATATTATTCTCAACACTTTTAATCTTGTTCTCAACACCATTTAATTTTGTTTTCAACACTTTTTAATCTTTTTTCTCAACACTTTTTAATCTCTAACTCAACACATTTTAATCTTGTTATCAATACTTTTTAATCTCTAACTCAACACCTTTTAATCTTATTTTTAACACCTTATAATCTTATTCTCAACACCTTAAATCTTATTCTCAACACTTTTTATCTCTAGCTCACACTTTTTAATCTCTAACTCAACACCTTTTAATATTGTTTTCAACACCTTTTAATCTTGTTGTCAACACTTTTTAATCTTTTTTCTCAACACCTTTAATATTTTTTTATCAACACATTTAATCTTATTCTTAACACTTTTTAATCGTTTTATCAACACCTTTAATTTAATATTTCTCTCAACACATTTGATCTTATTTTC